GTCTAATTCTTAATGCATTCTTACTTGTTGATTTCTTCTCATGCGATGTTTTGCCTGACATATCTTTTGGTTCATTCATCGCTTGCGAATCAACGAGTTGCCTGTAGACACCGTTTTCGACTGCAATCAGTTCAACATGCGTTCCTGTCTCGACCACTTTGCCGTCCTGATAATGGTAAATATCGCGTTAAAACACTTAAAATGAAGCATTTTGATCGATTAACATTAGTGGCCCGTGACTTGACGCAATTCAGTGTTCATTAATGCAACAGCATCTGTATCAGTCAAACCATACGCAATCATCATATTGAGACACTGACCACTGAACTCTTCTTATGCTTCTAATTGTAAGGAAAATCACGCGGTACAAACCTGCATGACGATTATTTGATCAGCATCTTTGATGGTTGATAGACGATGTGCTATCACTAAGGTGGTACGTCCTTCTGAAGCCTGAACAATGCTCAACACGTTTTACAGTTCCACTATCAAAATCAGAAACTAGAAAGATGAATGGATATATTTGCAATCTGAAGAAGTAATCCGATCATAAGTACTGCCCCAAATTTGCTCAAAAATTCAAACCCATTTTAAATATTAGATATGCTCAAGTCTAGCATCAGCGAAACTTTCGAACTGCAAGAAGATGAATTCACAAAGGAACTTCAGCTCATCCGAACGGTAAAAAACTCGATGTTGATCCTTTCAATATAGATTTTGTTAGTAGAACGATGTGCCCAGATCTAGGACGGTTCAATTCCCGAAATCTGAAAGACTTTCCGAGCAAATTACACCAAAATGAACGAATACTTTGTCAAGTGCTTCCTGTACGACATGTTCACTCTCTACGTCCAATGCACTGGTTGCCTCGTCCAGCAGCAAAATTCGTGGATTCCTGGCCAATGCTCTTGCAATAGCGATTCGTTGTTTTTGACCACCCGACAGCTGTATACCACCTTCACCTATCAACGTATCGTAGCCCTGAACTATCAAATTTTATGGACCAAAATCAAAACATTTGAATTCCTCTCGATACTTCATACTTCTGAAGATGACTTTTTGATGCTCCCTCTAAAGAAATCGGCTTCATTCAAGGCGATCTCGATGACTTATCTTACCAATACCTCCTCAATTAGAAAGCCACTTGGATTCATTGTTAAAATACTGTGCAGTGCTGAACATGACAAGCGATTTTCCATTGTATCTTATCACAATCAGATGTAGACGATTGTATCAAAAAGTATCGCACACCTCTTCATACAACCTCATTTTCGTAATCAAATTTCAACATCATGAACTGATTTGAGTTTACTGACCTGCGGTAGATCCATGATGAAGTCGTGAGCGTTTGCAATTTTACAAACGTTCACCATTTCACTAATCAGCAGATCTTCACGACCAAGTCTGAAACAATTCTGTCTGATTCATTCACCAAGAACAAACATCAAACAATATCTCTACTCATCTTAAATAATGAATGTCATTCAAAAATACTTATTTTATACACTGTAATATTTTATGACATATATTATAATACATATCACAGTCACATTTTTTTACGCAGAATCATTGACATCATCAAAAATTGTGCGTAAAAAATAAAATTTCTTCGCATTTTCATGAACCAAAAACGGAACAGAATTAAAGGACCTAAGGTTTTCAGCAATTGTTACGTTGAAAAGAATCGGCTCTTGTGATACCACTCCGATGATGTTCCGAAGCCAATCCAGATTCAAATTTCTTATGTCCTCGCCGTCTACTTTGATCTGAAAACAACGAAATCGAAGCTGATATCAAGCGACTCAAACCGCAACCAGAAGTACATTCATTATTTTTCGACCATACTATGACATCCTCATCTTTTCCAGTGAATACCATCTTAAGTGAGAACTTACCGATCCAGAGTTGGTATCATAATAGCGTAGTAATAAACTGATCAAAGTGCTCTTGCCACATCCACTGTGTCCAACCAACGCTATCGTTTTACCAGGTTCTATATCAATGCTCACATTGTCGATAACCTAAACCTGATGAGATTACTTTATCAAAAAAAAAAACAAATTTACTACACATGCATGAGATAATTGCATCAATCGCTCACATTTTTGTCCCGATTCGGATATTGAAATGAGATATTTTCAAATTTCACTCTGCCTTCCACAGACGCAGGTCGAATACCAGCATTTGAATAGCTGTCTATTGGGGGTACCTGAAATGGAGTTAGATTCCTCATACTTTATCATAATTACAGACGAAATTTGCAATGATACATTTTGATTAGTACATCACGTGTTTTTTAGAGCCAATAAAGAATCGCATGTGTGTTTAAAGGAATCAGTCGAAAGAAATCTTGCGAGTAAGAAGAAAGGCAATCCAACAAAATGTTTTTGATAAATACTTCATACGATCCATTGCCATCTAAAAAAGCAATTATAAGGCGATTCAGATGTTTGATACTCAATGATCACTCCAAAAATACTGGATCAATCAGCAAAGAATGGAACAAACCCGATCGATAATAGCATAAATTGGTGCAGCTGCACTTTTGGCCGTGACAAAAAGTGTCACTTGAGGTGCAATCATGCCCACTGACGCTGTACCACTCATCACGGCTAGAAACACTGTGAAAACTGCACCCGGTTGCAGTTCACCAGACGTGATCAACGTTGAACCATACCTCCAAATGAATGCAATATTAGTTTCCAAATAGCATGTCTCTGTGCAAGATTGATAGCATTTCACATTCTCACGACACTAAAAGATGGAATGAAGACAATATTGAGAGGTATCCATTAGGCTCAAGACCGTTTACAACTTACCAGAACGCAAGGCCAAACGACGAGAAGAGGAATGCGAGGAAAACACCAAGCGATGCACCGGTTAGAATCCCCTTCTTGATGCCCATTCGACGTCCAATTTTCAACTTCTCTTCATATCTGTATTTAGAATTAAAGCCTATTCACGGAAAGCATATGAACTGCTTCAAGGGGTCCGAATCAATTCGTTATTTGCTCAAATTACAATTGTATGCGCTTTTTTCCATTCAAAATAATATGATCTATTTAGATGAGTTGATTGAATG